GGGTTTCTGGGGACCCGTGCAGGCAGGCAGGCAACTTTCAAAGCTGTAGTTTGAAGGACAAGTATTTTCCTTTGCCTCTGACTGCTGATGGTGTATTCAGGCTTCTGTCTCTAGCAGTTGGGCAGCATATCCTTCATACCTCCTTGCTTTTTTCCCAGTTGAAAGGTGGAGGAGTATAATGAATCTGTGGCCACTAAGCACTGCCTCCTGGGTCTAGAACGTTCACACGCTCTCCCAAGGATCAGAGACAGACATTTGGCCCCGACCAGGGATCTGTATCTTGTTGGAACATTTCTTTTCTGTGGTATCATGCGTGTAGCTAAGTACTAATTCCCTGTATGATGTCTTTACAGAGGAAAAAGACGGGTTTGCCTGTGACCTCCTCCATAATCCTCCTGGGAGCTCTGATCAAGAAGGAGATGATGTGGAAGAGGATAATTTTATGTTTGAGCTCTCAGATAAGCCTCTTCTCCCTTGCTACAACCTCCAAGTGTCAGTGTCCCACGGGTGAGTGTTTGAGTAGTCTATGGGGACCAAGTGCTAGGATCTTGAGAAGGATGGAGTTCTCCTGCAGGAAGCTGAGACCTGGAGAACAAATGCTAGAGTGCAGGAAGGAGAAGATATGACCAGTCCAGCCTGACTCTCCAGCCCAGATTAGATATGTTCGATATTAGAACATATCTAATATCTAATTAGATATTAGATGTTAGATAATGCACCCAGATTAGCTAGGTGCATTAACTTTGTGTGTTTTCCAAAACCAATATCTAGATTCACTCTGAAGAATTTTTGTGCTGTTTCTGGGTGTAACAGATGATCTGGGAGATATCTGGGCTGGTGAACTATTAGATTCTCTGAAACATTTTTGTGGTTTCTGGGGACAGCCAGATAGAAAATTTGAAATTGAGATTCTTGGAAAAGCCAGGACATATGTTCACCATAGCTGTGGGGCCACTGGGGTCCTTAAGTAATCCACAGGCTGGTTGCTCATTGCCTTAATATTGGTGAGGTGATGGCATTGCTGCTGTCCTCTCAGATTACCGCACATATTATAATGAGGATCACCCATTTTCAGAGACTAGAATATATGTGGTACTTAGCATTAGAGTGGACCCAATGTCACCTTTATTTTATGATTCAGAAGAAAGCTCAGCAACCTGCAGGGCCATGGCCATGCTGCTTAGGAGGATACAGAATACACTGGCCTTTTGTTCTTGTGTTAGTGCTAAGTCGCTTCAGTTGTGTCCGACCATACAACCCTATGGACGGTAACCCACCAGGCTCCATGTCCATGGGATTCTCCAGGCAAGAATACTGGAGTGGGTTGTTCATGCCCTCCTCGAGGGGATCTTGGCCTCCAGCATTAAGTGTCCTCTTCTTGGTGTCTTCACAGATTTCAAAACCTTTGCAAACACTTTTAAGTGTACTTTTTCTTTGATATCTGTTTTTGAAATGTCAGACTCTATGTTCTTTTAAATAAAAGCACATGAAGTGCACATAATGGGGGGTGGTAGACAATGGATTAGGAACCCTTTGAGGGAGCCCCTCACTTGGCGACTCTAACCACTAGACCACAGTTTCTTTGCATCCCTTCCCCCCTGGCCTGATAAGAATAAAAATAGCCTCTATGATGACACTAGTAGGGATCAAGTTTCAGGGGCTTTTGGTCCTTATTCTTCTGGGCATAAGCTGATCCCTGAGGGCGGGGCTGGGCCTCTGGGATATAGTATTGCAGAGTTAATTAATTCCTCCAACATATTCAGCACCTCCTTCACTGAAATAGGATCTTGGGCCCCAGGCGGTAAAAGGACCAGGGTAGTGTGCTTTAGGTGCAGACAGAACAGGGGCAACCAGGGGCTGAGTGTCAGTAAGCAAACTGGGTGGCAGGTGGGTATTTGGTTGAGAGCTTGGTCCCAGCAGAGCTGGTTTTCTTGATGCTACATTCCCGAGCACCGGTTCTGAATCTGCCCTTCCACACAAATGCAGCACCATGTAAGAATTTATGGTCTTAAAAAGGGGGGAGGGTGTTACATCCTGATGACTCTGAGGTCCTGTGGGCTTCAGAAGTGCCTGCTGACTCATCAAAGCAAGACTGAATTCTGATCACCACTGTCAGTGTTCTGAGGGGCTTTTCCTCCATTCTTTGAAAGCGATATCCAAGGGTCTGGCATCTGAACCCCCTTTCTCTTAACCCAGAACACCCCATTTGCTGCTTGTGTGAGATGATAGAGATCACTGTCATTTGGAAGAAATGCTGCCTTTTAGGATGAGGACTGTGGGTCTGGGGAGAAGTTTTAGATGCATATAGAACATTCAATTCCAGAATCATGTCTTAAGTAGTTGCACCAGGTCAAACCCAGAGTGCTGGAATATAACTCTGGCCTTCAAAGACTCTCCAGTCTGGTATAGGGCACAGACAGGTATACCATGAACTCTAATAAAAGACCGCATACCTAAGCAGATTTATTATTGTAAATAATACAATAGTTCAGAAAGGTGTCAAGGGAAAAATATAAGTTCCAGTCCACCCCCAAGTTCCCCTTCCTGGACCACAGAGAGAACCACAGTTTGCATTTCTTTTATATTCTTTCCGAAATGGGCTCTGTTACCGGGTTATAATAAGGGTACAAGCCAAGTGCCAGGAGACTGTGGAAGATGGGATGAGTGACCGGTTACATCAGAGAAAGGCCTCATGGGTGACAGGGTGTCTGCACTGGGCTGCCGAGGAGACAAGGATGGAGGGTATGGCATGAACAACGGCACTGAGACATTCAAGTTCAGAAAACAGGGCTAGTCCTGCATGAAATGGCTGGTACTTGGTGGAGTGGGGGTATACTGCCTGTGTGTGTGCATCTGTGTGTGAGTGAGAGCGCGATTGGGTGGAGATAAGACCAAAGGGGTTGAATGGGGTTTGTTTGGAAGATCTTGCATAATAATCATGCTAAAGAGTTTGAAGGGTTTTTTTGCTGGAGATACTAGGGATCTATTAAAAGTGGTTTAGTGACCTAGTGAAAAGGTCTGATTTTCTTTTTAGAAAACGAAGAGTAACTGAGGATCCAGTGAGGGTGGGTGGGGGCTGTGGAAGAGTGACTCTTGGCAGAGGGAAACCAGTTAGAAGGCTGATGCAATACAGTCCAGGCTAAAAGTGGCAAAGGCTGGAAGTTGGACAGTGGAATGGCGGATGGCGAGGAAAGACAGCCCTGGAAACAGGGGCCACTAACATGGGGACGCGGCATTTCTTCCCGGTTTAGTCAAAGCCAGCGTCTGGCCCTGGGCGGCCTCGCAGCCCCCCTCCCAGCTGTCCCCAGGCTGCCGCCCAGGCCCAGTCGGGTGTGCTCAGCAAAGTCAGACTAGCTGTAGCTGTAACGTGAGCTGCAGCCCTGCAGAAACGATGGTGCTGCCGCTGGAGAAAAAACTTGTCTAATGCATTCCAGAGCCAAAGAGAAATGCCTTTTGGATTACCCGCAGTTTAGGCCTTTCTCCACGGCTCCCCCTCTGCTGGGGAAGATCTTGGAGAAGAAGGAGGCAAGGGAAGCAGGGGTGAGACAAGGAAAGGGAAACCAGACAGGCTGGCAGGGCTTGCTGGGGGGCAAAACTGGTCCCCACAAAGGTAAATTCCAGGTCACCTGGGCTGCGAAGGCTGGGATGCCTGCTCAGAGTTCATGGTTCTGGAAGGCCCACTTCCCTCCTACTCCCACTTTTTGGAAGGGGTCAGTCACAGGTTGAATGCTTGCCATTGAGCTGAAAGCCCGGGGCCTGCCAGCATAGGGGACAGGAGAAAATTGTCACCTCTGAGACACCCAAGTGGTCAGGGGCTTAGCGGAGGGGTAGCCAGGCCAGCGCCCAGTGCCCGCACCCCACCCTGTCCCTTCTGCCCCTTCCCTAACTTTTGTTCTTGCCTTTTCCAGGCCCTGCAACTGGTTTCTCTTTACCGACGTCCTGAAGAGGCTGAAGCTTTCCTCGAGGATCTTTCAGGCTCGGTTCCCGCACTTTGAAATCGCCACCTTGCCCAAGGCTGAGTTCTACCGGCAGGTGGCCTCCAGTCAGCTGCTGACCCCCGCCGAGAGGCCTGGAGGCATGGATGGCACCTCTGCCCCGGGCTCCTCTGAGACTGTGGAGCTGGTGCGGTACGAGGTGGAGCTGCTTCGGCTCCTAGGGTCTGAGGTAGAGTTCCAGCCTTGGAACAGTTGACCGGGAAAACAGCCCCTCCCTTTTCTTCTTTCTCCTCCCAAGTTCACCCCTCCCCCACCTCCCATGTTTTTCCCCCACCGAGCACCAGACTGCAGAAAGAGGCAATAATACGGACCAACAAGAAGCCGCCTTATCGATGCCAGCATTAGTGACTGGATTTTTTTTTTTTTTTTTTGGTTACAGTTAGTTCTCATCTCCCTGTCATCGTCATTGTTGTTGTGGTTGGTGATGGGGGTGGAAAGTTGAACTCCACGTCTGAGGACAAGAGGTCCCAGGGGTGGTGGGAGGTGGCGCCAGGGTCCCTTGGACTGGCTTCCTTGTGTGTGACCAAGACCAAACCCGGGGCCCTGGGTGGCCACGGCCTGTCCAGAAGAGAAATGAGAAAAGCCCAAATCTCTGAGCGCCCCCTCCGTTCCCCTGTGTTCTTTTGTCTTCCATAGTATTTATTTTATTAGTATTTAATTTGTATTGTTTCATTGGTTTCTGATAAGTCTGTATCACTGTGACGATTTGAGACAACTTGTTGTATTGAGGGACTTTCTTCACCTCCTTTCTTTGTCTTTCTTGATCAAGCTCTGAAGCTGTTTCCTCCCTCTGAAAAAGTTACTCCCAGGTTTTTTTCCACCACTGGGGAGGAGGCAGGGAAGGGTGGGGGCCATTGACTTGTAACTAATGAAGGTGGTTGGTGCTGGCCCAGGTCTGGGGGGTTGGGGGTGAATCCTGAGGCTTTGGTGCTCACCCCTCTCCCAATCCCACCCCCCACCCCCATTCACCCCCCCTGCCCTTTGCAGCAGCCCTGCTGTTTGGAGATGCTTGTTTACTGGGGAGGGGAGGATTGTGGGAATAAGGGGTTATTAATAAGTTACTCTAATGGAGAGTTGAGAATGGGTCTTGAAGGAACAGGTTGCCTCCTCCTCACCATCCTCACTGCCCTCAGAATGCACAATATAGGTTTGTTTCCACAGTTTCTTCCCCTGCACCCCTGGCCACCCTACCCCACCCGAGCCTTGCCCTCCCTGGAGACTGAGCCTCTCAGCTCCCTCTTGCCCTTGTCCCCATCTTTCCTCCTTGCCTTTGAAGCTTCCCTTTCTCTTTTCTCTGTCCTCAGCTCCTTCTCCCTCTGTGCACCCCCGCCTCCCAATTCTCCTTTGGAATTTCCAGAGGGCTCTGGGAGTTCCTGCCAGATGTTGAACCCAGGTCTCAGCTGTTTCCTAGGTGAGGGCAGGAGACTGGTCTCCCGCCAGGCCCCACTCCTGCTTGGGGACGGGGGGCTGCGGGCCCGGCCCTACCAGGTCTCCCTCTCAGCGCTGGGTTTGTTGGTGGAGAGAGAGAAGGAGGGGTTTGGGCTGCTTCCTTGCCCCAGCCCCCTCTGTGGCATTGTCTTTCCCACCCTTGTTCTTATTTTTCTACCAATCGCTATTTTTCCGAACAATCCTTGTAGAGAGTATGTACCATCCAGAAGCAGGAGGGCCTCCCTACGGCCGGCTCTGGTTGGAGATGGTACAGTTTTATTGTACAGGTGCTAAAACAACAACAACAAAAGAAGAAAATGGAAAAAAAAAAGACAAAAAAAGGCAAAAAAAAAAAAAAAGCCAGTTTGAGGATGGGACAATCTGTTCTCTGGAGACTCCTGACCCTCGCAGGAGGATTGTTGGTTATTTTCTTTGTATTGTGTTTGTTCTTTGTTCCCAGGGGGAAGTTCTAGGCCCCCTTCTGTAGGACTGCTACCCACCTCCACCATACTGCCCAGTTGGTTTTGAACAGTTGTTCTCCCTTTTTAAAAAAAAAAAATATATATATATATATATAAAGTTGAGGGGTTTTTTTGGGTTTAATTTTCTGGTTTTGTTGGGGTTCATGGTATTGTGTGGTTTATTTTATGTTTGCTTTTCCTTTTTTGCATTTGGGTGTGTATTTTGGCTGCCCTTTATGTTTCATTTTAAGCAACTGGCTGTGGAGTCAAAAACACTTGCATACTGAAAAACCTGTGTCAGGGCTTCTGTCTCCTGTCTCTTTTCTCTGCTCCCTGTATTGGCTTTTCCATAGTTAAAAAAAGATGGGTATCCCTATGAAGTCAGTGGGGAAAACCCTCAGCCTGCTTTGCGGTTTGGGGTCCTTATTGGCATAGCAAATGAGAAAACAGAGTGACCAGTGAGGATTCGGGTCACCTTGGCAAGATCTGGAAAGAAAAGGAAAGGCCCGGGCAAATCCTGGGAAGAATCGAGTACCTGCATCAGTTTGGTAGGCTGCGTGGGGGTGCCCCCGCACATGTGCACACAGTCCTCGATCTCCCCAGAGGAGTATGCTCAGAGGGAGGGGGCCTCTTTGAGGTGGCTGTGAGGGATGATCCTCTTTAACTCAAGGAAATCACCTGCCTGCCAGCACTGTCTCCTGCCCTGAGCCACCTGTGTGAGCAGCAGACTTCATGGTCTTGTCACTCACTGCCCTCACTGTCTTGCCGGTGTCCCCTCTGCCCCCCTACACAGTGCAGACCTTCCATGGTTCTGCTTTCCTAAGACCCACCTACTTTGGAGGCAAGATGCCCATCCTAGACTTTACAACTTTTCTTCCTTCTGAAAATCAGCAGGAGAAAGTATGATTGTGACTTGTGACTGCTGGCTCGAGAATGAGCCTGTTACTGTTTGAAGGGAAGGGGATGTCTGCAGGTCTGGGATGAGGCCCTTGTAAGCTATGCTCTTAGGATCTCTCACTGTGGCTGCTGTGTCTGGAGAGCCGTGTCACGTACCAGCCAGGGGGTCTGTCTCTCTGGCCAACAGTAATCCAGCCATCCTGCCCCAGGAGTGACCCTTGAGTTGCTCAGATGGAGGAGCAGCATTAATCCTCCCCATTAGCTTTCATTCCCCACCTCCTGATCCTGAGGCCTCAAGTCTTCCCAAACAACTCCTGAGGCCATGTGATGAATGCGAGGATCCAGCTAAGCCCAGGATGCTTTGGGAGCTCAGCTGGATGGGCAAGGGCACGGGGGTGGTCGGAAGTGATGCCTAGTTGACAAGTAGGAAAATGGGAATTGGGGTGGCAGGGAGGAACCCTTGAACTAAGGGGACATCTGAGCACAGGCTTGGGGACAAAGAAGAAGGGTAGTATGTGCAGGAAACCTCAACCCACTTCAGTGTCACTGCAGCTGGAAGGTACAGGTGGGGAAGGAGAATGTAGGAGCCCTGCCAGCCATGCCAAGGAGTATGGCTTTGACTTTTGCCTGAGGTGGTGGGGAACCATGGGAACTCTAAACCAGGTAGTGACATGAGTTTTTCCTTTTTCTTTTAATACATTGGTAAAATATGTTGGAGGTAGGACAGGCAGAGGGAAGGGAAAAGGTGATTGCCTGATTTAGAACAAAGGATGAAGGGAGAGCCTTAGGGGTATAAGGATTTCCATTTAGGGCAGGATGGAGATGCAGTGGGCAAAGTCAGAATGATCACAAAGGAATGGGTGATGGTCCTTTGCGACTCTTGGACAGCCCTGGGCGTTTGGGTGTGTGGGCATGCACACACTCCTTTATTTCTCTGGAGAAAGGAAGTGAGTTGAAAGCCACACCAAACAGCAGTTTCTTATTTCCTGCTTTTGGGCTCCCTTTGCCACACCTTTCCTGGAGCCCTCTCACTGCTCTTCTGCTAGAGTGGGAAGACCAAAAATGGAGGAATGGGCTGTGAATCCCATAAAGCAGGAGATGAGTGTACATTCCCAGGTTGGAACTGGGGAGAGGACGATCGCCTCTTATTAAACGATCTAATCCTTTTCAGTGCGGCCTCAGGGAAAGAGCCAGCCCACCACTTCCCACCTAGGCTGACAGCGGGTGAGAGAGAACCTAGTATTTTGAGCCTTCATTATTCCATCTGCCAAATGGGGCCCAGTTTACCGCCAACGGAAGAGAAACATACTAAGTAACCATGGCTGTTTAGCTGAAGTTAGTTCCTCCGACATACCAAGTTCACGAGCCTACAGTTGATGGTCTTAGCAGAGTGCTCCTCTTTGAGGTGCTGGGTTGAGAGGGAGGCTCTTGGAGTCTCTATACTCCGAGAAAGGACGATCCGCTTTCACTGCAGCCCTATTTGGGTTGGGGGAGGGCGGCGAATTGGGCGGCAAACTCCTGCCCCTTGCATACTTTAATCAACGACGGGGAAGACTGCTGGGCATTTTAATGTGTCCCATCCCTGCTAAGACAAGTGCGTGTGTGTGTTCAGGAAGGATGGAGTCCGCCCCAAGGGCAGTCTGCTTAACAGCCAGGGGGAAGCGCCAAGTGTTTGGGCCTTCTGGACCCGCCACGGGGTGGGGCGGGCTCCACGTGTTCCCCTAGACCACGGGTTTCCCCGGCGAGGCGGACTGGCAAGCCCCAGCGTTGGGCAACCGGACTCGGATGCCTCCCCGGCCGCGCGCCTGACCCTCAGTAGCTCGGGGTCTTGCCGCGAGAGGTTGGGGCCCTCCGCGGGCAGAAGGCTGTCGCGGGCGCCTCAATTGCTCCCCGATTTCAAGGTTGAAAGCGGCGCTGTAGCTTCAACTGTAGCTAAAGGCAGGCTGCGGTGGGAGGTGGGCCAGGCAGGGAGCCCTGCGGCTGGTGGCCGCGGCCCGGGCTCAGTCCCGCCGCCCGGGAGAGAGTGGATGCCGGCAACGGAGGCAGGCCCGCCGCGTGCTCACCTGCTAGTCCCGGAGGCTAGGGGTGGGGGGCGACGGGGGCGGGGCCAGGGCGCGACCGGCCAATGGGGAGAGGGTATTCCTTCGACTGTTAAATTCCCCCTGGAAAGTGGAGGGGGCGGGGGCTGGAGGGAAAGTTCCAAGCTCCCGAGCAATGGAAGGCCTGCTTGGGAGCCAGAGCCGCCCAGGGACAGTTTGGGGCGCAGAGTCAGGATAGAGGGACAGGAAGATGCCGGCTGCGGCCGCCTCTGCCAGGAGCGGCAGGCCCCGCCCTTGACCGCCTCTCTCTTCCCGGGCTCCGCTGGGCCACACGCCCGCCTGCGCCGGCTCCATGGCGCCACCTGCCGGACGCCGGACGCACGCCTGGCGTGCCGAGGCCGAGGCTCTGCAGGGAGCGACCGCGTTGGCCTCCCTGGCCTGGGAACGGCTGGGGAATGAGTTCCCTCACCTCGGATCCAGCGGCTTTGGAGCTGGAGGCAACCGCCTCTTTAAAAATACATGATGGGGTCAGAGGAACGACGATCATGAGAATCACTTCTTGTTCCATCCCTCCCACCGGGCCTGACATTTCCACCAGGTATGAGGAAATAGCGATGAGTCTGTCCCAGGAAGGGGGCAGCAGCGAAGGGCAGGAGTTCAGAGTCGCCCGGGGCACGTAGTGACAGCAAGGCACTGCTGGAAGCAGCCTTGGGCTCCTCGTGGACCCTGTTGTCCTGGGGTGGCCGCAGACATGGGCAAGGGAGCCAGCTACCTGCCATGCTCTATGAGGTGTCGAAAGCTGTGGTAGGCCCCAAGTGTGGGTGTCCCTTCCCCGCCTCTCTGGCCTGCCTTAGTATAGCGCTGAAATCTCCATGATTAGAAACAGGACTCATTCATTCTTTTAATAAACATTTATTGAGCACCTACTGTGTGCCAGGCACTGTGCTAGGCGCTGGGGGATACATCAGTGACTAACACACAGTCCCTGTCCTTGAGGAGCTCACAGTCTATTGGAGGGGAAACATACATAAACACATAGCTAAGGCGCTACCATGTGCTAAGTGCTACAATAAGAGGTATATACAAAGTGCTGTGGGAGCTCAGAGGAGGGAGTAATGCATCAGCTGTTGGGGGTGAGGAGCCAGTCTCTTGACTCCATCAAACTATTACAAAGGCAGGGGTGCTGTTGCCACATGACCCTGGTTGAAATGAACCTATCTCCTGAGGCTCTCCTCTAGCCCTCTCCCATAACTACATCAGCACAGGTTAGTTTATCAGCTTAGCTAATTTAACACTTTGAGTAGGAAAGAAACTGGACAGGGAAGTTTCTTGAGAGGCAGGGGATGTTCAAAGTAGTAACAACTCTTGGGTGCTAAGGCCAGGGGTGGGGTGGGGGTACCATGAGGGCACTGAGCCAGGGAGGGCTGGCCCTGGGCAGCGGAGCACCTGGGGTGAGTGTCTGTGCAGAGGGGAGGTCGGAGGTCACCTACCTCACTTTGGTCCCCCTCTCTCACCAGCTCAATCAGTAACCGTCCATTGACGCTCACTAGATGCTTCGTAGTGTGCCCTGCTATGGGTGACAGTTCCACTCCCCTTAGAAGGTAACACACTAACTGGGGAGACTCCATAAGTCCAGGTCATTGAAGATTTAAGTAACAGTTTGTGATTATTATAGAGGCGATGTCACAGGCTGCTCACAGTTACCAAAAGAATGGCACTTGCAACGCATTTCAAATGAACTCACTTAAGGGTAGGCTGGTCTGGGGAGGCAGTGTCCATGAACTGAGCCTTGAAGGATGGGTACAATTTGATGAGTACTAGCAGGGTGGGAAGAGCATTGTGGTTGAGCAGAAGCAAGAAAAGTAAAAGTACAGAGGTAGGCAACTCCAACAGAAGCACGTGCAAAGGTCAGTGAATTCATCTGTTTGACTGGGTGAATGGGGAAGTAGGCTAGGACGTGATGGTGAAGTGCAAAATACTCCTGGAAAAACTGCCCTGAGCCATCAAGTGCTCCCCCATCCCTCCTCCAGGACCCCTGGACTGCCTTGTGAGTCAGACAATAAAGGGTTAATGCCCAGCCACTAAGAACAGATTGGAAGTTAAGGATTTTGAGTATCACCCCCACTTGTAGGCAGTGAGGAGCCCCAGGAGACTTTTTGGCAGAGGAAGAATAGAGCCAGTGCCCTGGCAAGTTGGAAGGGGTGACTCAGATCACACTGGGGGGCTGCTTATATGTCCAGGGAAGGGGATATGCTCTGGGGGAGGCTGAACAAGGCTGGAGGCTCTCTGCAAGTGTGGAAGAATGGCCGGAATGGAGAGATGTGGCAAACCACACCAGACTTGAGGCAATGAGGACGGGGCAGGGTCAAGTGAACGCGGCCAGCATTTCAGATGGCTCTGAAATGTCAAGCTTAGAAGGTCAGCACAATAACAGAAATAGGCAAGTCATGATGGCCTTTTTGTCTGGAATGGTTTTGTGTGTTGGAAAACTTCCAAAAATCCATTTTTGATAGAGGGACAATCTTTGAGAGCCTGACAAGCATCTAGGTAGAACTATCCAGCAGAAATGTGAGCCAGAAGCTGAGAAGAGTAGGGGCTGGGCCTCTAGATTCCATACCCAACCTGAAGAGCCTCACTGGAGCCAGGAGGATGGCTGAGGCTCATGGGGGTGCCCAGAGTGAATGCAGACGTGGAGTTAGCAAGGGCACAGAGAAGGTGATGGAGGAAGGGGAAGTAGTGTCATGTGCTGTGAGGGTTCACAAGGGGCCAAGGACTAGGAAGAAGAAATTTGACATCACCTCCAGGGTATCAGTGACTTCAGATGAAGAGTTCTGTGGGGTTCCGGTGAGGGGGGCAGGGCCACTCCTAACCCACGTGGAATCTTTGTGTAAAGTTGTTTTCAAAGGTGACCCTTTCTCAAGATGTTTTGCTCTTCACCACCAGGAAACTGTCATCATAAGCTGATTTTATTAGAAAAAGGGACATTAATGCCAAGTGCTGGAGACATGTAAGAAATACACCTGCACAACCATACATGGTTCCCTCCCAGGGTGGAGAAGGGGGAGAACAAGAGGTGACAGAGCATGATAATGGGCTTGGCAGTGACCAGAAGGGGAGAGAGAGAGAAGGGGCAACCAGGGGAGGTAGTGAGGTCAAGTGGCTGGTTTTGTGTCAAGGACACAGCAAAGGTCCTGAGGCACCAATTCACAGTAACCACATTCACCAGATCCTATCACTATTTCCGAGGCTGACATAGTAGGGCTCTCAGCCTTGCTCCCAAACCTGGCAGGAGAGACAAACACAAATTCATAGGAGAGAGAGGGGAGGGGATCAAGGCCCCCAGCTGAGGGGTGGACTTTAAGAAATAACTGGCTGACCCCCTTCTCAGAAAGGGGAAAGGTGGAAGGAAGGCATGCGGAGGGACATAAAGGACAGGAGCTCACAGGTTCGGGCTCCATCTTCGTGGAGGAGGAGTCAGAGTGAAGTGAGAAGGCTGGCCATCAAGGACCTCAGCCCACTGGAGGAGGTCTACTGCAGCCATTGAGGGTGGGTGGGCAGACCTGTGAGGGGAGTAGAAAGCAGGCTGAGCAGCAAGGAGGCACAACCAGGGACGGAGGCAGACCCCGAGCATGTGGTTACCCGATGTCCCCTGCACTGCCTGCCAGCAGTGAAATGGCAGGGGCGAAATTAGTCAAGAGGGAAGCCAGGATTTGGGATGCAGACCAGGGTGGCTGTGAAGGCTGGAATTACAGCCCAAGCCCTGGGCGCGAACATCCATTAATTTAGTCCCCTTCCCCTGAGGACCTTGTGGCTGGGTCTGATCCTGGAGGGGCGCAAAGCACTCTGGGGAGATTAAGGATCTGGCCTGCTGGCAAATGACTGGTGGGCAATGACGCTGAGCCCAAGAAGACCTCGGTCTAACCTGCGGGGCTGCTCCAGAGGGCTGAATTCCTTCCCTCTCTTCAGGGTTTTATCCCACATGGTTTTCTCCTTGTCCCCTACAACTCCGTCTTCCCCAACGAACACACCCATCAAAGCTCTCCTCCCCAGACCTGCCCCAGCTCTGTGACATCTCTCCGGATTTGGGGGTTCCAACCTGTACCCCATAGTTTCAGAACAACCAAATCTTGGCTTCTACAAAGCGAACTAGAGAATGCTTTCCCTCAAAACAGAAAATTCCCCATCTCTGTGGCTGACCTCCACAGAGACACACACCCTTGAAGACCTCACAGCTATACCCCCATCCTCACCAAAGAAACAGAGATACAGACGCACAGGTACACACAAATACATAAAGAGATATTCACATACGGGATAGTAAATACTCTGCAGAGGGAACGAAGACAATGGAATACAGCCAGGTGAAAAGACTCTTCTCATGAAGCCCCTACCCCAGCCCTGGTTACAAACGTCTCAGGTTTGCCTCCATCTGCAAGTCAGCCCATTACTCCAACAAAAGCATATCCCCTAGTACTCTTGAAAGCCATGGTTTGACACCAGGGATGCTCCAACTAGGCCTGTCTTGGCTATGATGACAACAGGCAGGGGTGGGGCACGGGGGTCTGCTGAAATGTAAGGGCTGGTGTGCTACTTCAGTCAGTCTCTCTTAGAGAAAGTCCGTGTACAAATGCTGCTCAACTTTGCCTGGCGGTCACGTTTCCCCCTGACCCCCTCCATTTACATGTCATGAGGCTCCATCTTAATGAGGGAAGTGGGGTTGAATGGGGAGATGGAGGCTGGAGTTGGGGATCTAGTCAGCAGGCTCCCGGGTGTGCTTACATTATTAGGCTCAGCCGTAAACAGGGACCCTGAGCTCGAGGAGAGCTCAAGTTCAGCCACTGGGGTTAGCCCAACAGTGGGGCGGCTGGGAGGAGAGAAAGTCTGGTTTCCCAGAAGGCTCGGATTGTGGGAAGCCCTTGAAACTACCTGGCTTGGAAGTGGCTGAAGATGAGCCTGCTCCCTCAGGAGTTCCCTCAGGGTCTCTTCAGGAACCAGCAGGCCCTCCATGGGGGCCCCAGTCATCATGCCCTGCACATAGGACGAGGGCCTCAGTGGCCCCTCCTTGACCCCAGGGGCTGCAGTGGCACCGGAAGTTCTGATGAAGGCCGCAATGACAGTCCCAGGGGCCTGAGAGCTGGGCCCTGCTGGGCCAGCTCCCATGACTGAGGGTGGTGCTGGATTGGTTGGACGGTTGGCCCCAGCCAGAAGCTGGGGGAGGCCACTAAGAATCAGCGGAGCCCCCGGTGCTGCCACCTGGTTCTCTTGGAAACTGGTGTTCAGGGGGAAGGAGGCCTGCAGAGTGAAGGTGTCCTTGAAGGTGGAAGCAGGTGGAACACTCTGGAGAACCAGCTGGGTTGAAGCAGTAGTACTGGCAGGAGGCCCGTTGGTCAGCACTGTGGTCAGCGGGATGGTCTGCAGGGTCAAGGCCGAGCCCGACCTGACAGGGGCCACTCCTAGGTGGATGTTGCTGGGCACTGAAGAAGTACTGAGGAGAAACAGAAAGCACATTTGGTTCAGGGAGGAGGCGTGGAAGGAGGACACTGGGGGAATGGAGTGGAAGGTGTTTCAGCTACTGTTTGTTGCGCCCTTAGCTTGGGTCAGGGATCATTCTGAATGGTTTGCATGTGGGATTTCACTCCACCTTCTGATCAGCCCATGAGTTGAATAAGATTAACAATCTGATTTTCCTGCATGAGGAAACAGGCACAGAGAGATTATGTAACTTGCCCTAGACCACAGAGCCAGCAACAGGGACATACCTAGGCTTTCTGCCTCCAGAGATTGTGTTCATCACCACTGCAGTGTACTGACATCCCTCTTCAGAAGAGCATCCCCATGGCCCACACCAGCATAGTAACAGGTACACATGTATAACCCAAAGGCCAAACTTTTCAGGGAAAATTGGAGGGACCTGAGTGTGGACAAGTAGTAACAAGAGCTTTCCTGGTGGGCTTGGTAGGGCCTGAGGAAGGCAGAATGGCACCTTCTCTGTTGCCTCTTTTTTGGAGTACAGGAGACTTGCGGGATGGGCTCAGGAATGGAGGTTCTTGGGGAGCGCCCTGGGGTAATAGGAGTAGCCCCAGCTGGCAACAGAAGACCCCCCCAGGTCAATGGTTGGCTTGGCCGTTTGCTACTTTGGTGTGTGACCTCAGTCAAGTCACTTTTCCCTCTTTTAAGCCACAAGTGTTCCACTGGATTCCCAGAGATGCTGTGAGGGTCCCGGGAGCCAGAGACAGCAGAGCTTTGCAAGATGCTGAAAATGTCCCCATCCCTAGGGGGAAACTCGGAATGACCTGGGCGCCCTTACCTCACAGCTTTCGTGACTTTGGCCTGGCTTTCTGGTAGAGAGACAAGCATGGCGGAGGTAGTGGGGATCTCTTCATCTACAGACAGTCCCAATTCCAGACTCGCAGATGGCTGGAGACCAACGTGCTGCACCTTCGACTTTTCCCAGGAAGTGTCGCCCTTGCCCTGCGGGGCAGCTCTGGACGAGACCCGGGAGCTGGCTCTCCGGGAGCTGCCGCCAGAGGTGGAGGGAGCAGAGGCCTGAGGGGATGTGGCTGTGACCTCGCTTCTCTCATCCTCATCTTCGATCACCACCAGGTCCTTGGGCATCTCCTTAAACTGGTACACCAGCCTCTGCCCTTCCACTTTGGCCAGGATGCCTCGCTGGTAGTAATATCTGGGTGGAGAGTGGGGAGTGTCAGGGACACAGTGCCCTCCAGGGCCGGTGAGGGGGATGCAGATGGGAGCCCTGGGCAAGGGAAGGGGCACTTTGTTTTGTTTTTTTTTTCTTGGAAATACTTTATTTTATTTTTTTTTCCATTTATTTTTATTAGTTGGAGGCTAATTACTTTACATCATTGCAGTGGTTTTTGTCATACATTGAAATGAATTAGCCATGGATTTACATGTATTCCCCATCCCGGTCCCCGCTCCCACCTCCCTCTCCACCCGATCCCTCTGGGTCTTCCCAGTGCACCAGGCCCGAGCACTTGTCTCATGCACCCAACCTGGGCTGGTGATCTGTTTCACCCTAGATAATATACGTGTTTCGATGCTGTTCTCTTGAAACATCCCACCCTCGCCTTCTCCCAGAGTCCACAAGTCTGTTCTATACATCGGAGGGGGCACTTTGGACTTAGAAGGCTTTTATGAAGTTTCCTCGATCTCCCTCTGATGACTCAAAGGGTCCACGAAAGGGGATTTCCAATGCTGACCCTCATGCTGCTTTGGGGCAGAGGATGGGGTGAGTGAAGGATGGGAGGGGGTGGAGGACTGGGGTTCAGCCATCCCCCAGCCTGAGAGATCGACTGTGGGTAAGTCAGACCCATCTTTCTTGGTCCCTGGCTTGCAGAATGTGAAAGAAGCCCTTCTTGGGGATGGGGAGGCCCTGAAATTCTCTTTCCACTTTAAAAAGAGAAAAGGCTAGGACAGAAACACAAGAAGAAGGGGACCATCCCTTCCAGATGGGACCTGGGAAACGGGCTGGGGGGCAAGCAAATGGGAGAGTCACAGGAGACTTGCGGGGATGGGCCCAGGAATTCGCTCCTCAGAAGAGTGTCTAGGTGATCCACGCAGGAGGAGCAAGGTACTTACTCATCACCCACACAGAGCCTGATCTTTTCAGGGAAAGTCAGAGGCCCCTTAGTGAGGGGCTCCTGGGACAGAGGGAGAAGCATGGGGAGCCTACCTGGGCAGGGGCTCCTACCTGAGTGCCCGGCCCATCGTCTCATAGTTCATGTCAGGCTTGTTCTTCTGTTTCCCCCAGAGCTTGGACACTGCTTTAGAATCCACCAGCTTGAAGATGCCTTTCTCTCGCTGGGTCCACTTGATGTACTTGGGGCAGGTGTTCCGGTCTTGCAGAAGTGCGAGGAGGAATTCCCACAGGTAGATGGTGCTGCCTGCAGAGCAGCAGGGTGGTGATGGGGTGCCCAGACCCCCCCCACCCCCACCAGCTCCCTTCCCACCTCAACCGCCTCCCCGCCGTACCTTTGCCATCCTTCGATTTCTTCCGAATGGGGATGCTGAGGTCAGTGACAGGTGAGGTACTGCGGTTGCCCTTGGTCTTCCGGACTGAGGGTGGGGGGAAGGTGCGAGTGGGCTGAGGCTACAGGGCTGGGCTCCCGAGACAGAAGGCCCAGGCGCTTACCAACTGAGGGACACCCAGCGACAAGGAAGAGGCAGGTTGCCTCCAAGGCTGGAGGTCACACTCCACAGGCATCGCACTCAGGTAGCTCCACCCACCCAAGGGCCCACCTGCATTTTCAGGCCCCAAACAATGTGGGGCCATGGAGTGCTTGCCAATGAGTCACCTTTAGAAGCACAGAATCTGCCCCACCTAATTTTTGAAACAAAATGGCAGTCTGAAGGCGTGACTATTGTGCAGATTAAGTGTGGCACCAGGCTTTGGTTGCCACACTGACACGGCAGTATCGACCAGCCATCATCTGAGTAAATCAATAACATGGGGCTTGGGAAAGCCCAAAGTCCTCTACCATATACGGTCTCGGCTCTGTAAGCTCCAAGAAGGAAGCTAAGAGCAGAGTGAGGCAGAGGCCCCCAGAGAGCCAGGAACTGGCCAGGGGGCCAAGGCTGGTGTCTGAACACTCAGTGCAGGATTCAACCCACTGAGGTCATGGGCTTGCTAATAAGCATTTACGTATCTGCTGGGCAGACAGGAGTGGTCTGGAAAATGTCAGGCTTTAGGCAAGCTACCTGACGAGGCCTGGCTTTCCAGAAGAGAGGACTTTCCATCTGTCTCTGCCACACCAGAGAGCTATGCTCTGAACATGTCTGTGAAGCACGGCACTCACCTCCAGCCGTGGTCTCCCTGAGCCTTCTCCTACTGCCCAGCCCCTTGAAGAAACACACACATACACACACTCTCTCTCCACCCCCATCTTACTTCTCTTCTTCGATTTTCCAGTCTTCTTAGCGCTGTCTTCTGTGGGGACCTTCTCCTCCAGACAGTTCTCCTCCTGGTCACCAGTGTCGCCAGCCCTGTTCAGGGCGTCGGGCTCAGAGACAGGAAACAGGTAGTTGGGCAGTGTCATGGCTGGAGCAGGGTCTGGCTCTGGAAGCATTTCAGAGGTGCTGACTGCAAGAAGAAAGGCCTGAGGTGGCGGGGACCCAGGGCACGGGAGGAGTGTGGTCTCCCCGTGCTCAAGAGAACAGTGGGTTCCTGGGGGGTGGGGGGGCCTTCAAGTGTCATTCACCACAGCCCCAGACACAGGACACACCTGAAAATGCCTCCTGTGTCTCACAGAATGAGGAGAGGAAACATCTGCAGAGCTGTGGGCATGAGCTGGCCCCAATCACAGCACGCACATGTGTAGCCTGCCGCTGGTGGTGGGAAGTTCCAGGTGACACCCAGGGAAAAGGGCCACCTTCATTTAGTCATCTACTCATTTCACAACCAGAAGGGCCCTTAGACCTCATTTAGCCCTGATGAGGAGATTGAGACCCAGAGATGGCAGGGCATGTGACCAGGGTCACACAGCAACTTGGTCACACATGCCTGATACATGAGGGTACAGTAAATAATCTGTTGAATCCTGAATGAAAATTAGTGCCAGAGGTGGGATGAGGAATTGGAACCTGCAGCTTCATGGCTTTTTTGCCACTCTGTATCCAGCACCTCCTTGGGAAGGTCAGTTGGAGCCAGGAATCTTCCTGTAGAGTCATGGCAAATGCCTGGATGGGGGTATTTGCTGGGGGAGGAGCCTGCCTCAGGGGCCATCCCAGGAAGTAGGGGCCAACCTCCTAGAACAGGGAAGGGATGAGGAGGCTCCAGCTCGGTACAGTTCTAAGCTGCACCTGGCACAGTCATCCTGGGAGCTCAGTAAGACAGCAGAGCGGCCTGACGTTACCCTGGCCAATAGCATTCGGCCTTAAAAAAGGAAGGAAGTTCTGACACGTGCTATACGTGGATGGACCTTGAGGACATTATGTTAATTAAAATAAGCCAGTCCCCCCAAAAAACAAATACTGTACACTTCGGCTCATCTGAGGTCCTGAGAGGAGTCAAATTCATTGAGACATAAAGTAGAACGGTGGTGGCCAGGGGCTGAGGGGAGGGGGAAATGAGGAGTTAGTGTTTCATGGGAATAGACTTCAGGTTTTGCAAAATGCAGAGTTCTGGAGAGGATGATGGTGGCTGCACAACATAACAAATGTACTTAATACCACAGACCCAAACACTGAAAGATGGTTAAGGTGGTTAATTTTATGTTATGTGTAGTTTGTTGTTCAGTCGCTCAGTCATGTCTGACTCTTTGTGACCCCATGGACTATAGCTCACCAGGCTCCTCTGTCCATGGAATTCTCCAGGCAAGAATATTGGAGTGGGTTGCCATTTCCTCCTCCAGGGGATCTTCCTGACCCAGGGATCAAAACCTATGTATCCTGCATTGGGAGGCAGATTCTTTACCACCAAGCCACCAGGGAAGCCCTATGTGTATTTTACTGTAATTTAAAAATTGGAAAAAACAACCAGTCAATCTGGTTATTTTTATAAACAGCTATAAAAAGTCACTCCATCTTCCTCCTCATCTGCAGGGGCCATCCTGCCCCATCCCACTCCACTCACAGCTCAAGAGCATGTTAACAAGTGTAGGGGTGGTGTGGGTACATTAGTCCGCACACACAGGTCCCTGAGAATCCAATACACAGATGTGGTATTTCAAAATGGAATTTTGTGTTGCCACGAGTTGAGGCGCCACAGTTCAAACTCACAGATCTGCTTGTCATCCAGGATATCGTTGGGAGACTCGACGTTGAGCAAGACTTCAGTGGTTGACACGGTTTGTGAGGTGGTTTCATTGTCATCTGGTGCCAAGTTCCATGGTTGGGAGAGAAGAAAAGTTTCCTTAGGACATAAGGCAGTGGGTGCAGCCAGAACGAGGCTAAGGAGCCCAGGGGCAGCCGGGAAGGTAGCAGCGTGCCTCCCACCCTGATTCTCCACCTTACTCTACACCCATCCCAGCAGAGCTGGTCTCCCCTCACTCCACTGCATTTCAGGAGATCATGGATCCATTTAGGTAGCTTTCTCCTCTCTACAGTGGTACTACCTTCTGCTTATCCTAGTCACCCCATCTAATTTCCAACTTTTGGGAGGCTTGCTCCTGGCTGCATGGGGTCACTAGAAGCCTCTGTGGGCTACTGTTGCCTGAAGACAGAACCCCTCCCTCCTCCATGCCTTCCCTGCCCAGGAAGGAAACAGACCTGCCAGTAAAAAACTGCCCTCCAAGATCTGATCCTGTGTCATGCACAATGTCCCATCTGTTATGATGCCATTGTGAACGTCATCCAGTTCCAGGCCTGAGTACAGATGCAGTAATTCGGGGTAGGGCACTTGCTCCACAATCACAGCTGGAAACACGGAGGGATCTTCTAGCTACGGAGAAGACAGTGATCCGGTTCAAGGCCCACCCGCCTCTCCCAGGAAGCCTTCTGTACCAGAATCTGGCCCTTCTTGCAATTCCTAACTCTTGGGTCCCTCGGGGGCTGTCCTCTGTAGGGCATGGCATTGCTCTGGGTCCAACCTCACTCACTAGTGGGGTCTTGATTGGTAGAAACGGGTTAGCTCTGTACCACCTTCACTCAACCAAGGGCAGGCAGGTTTAACTGGTTACAGCTATGGGTTAAGCTGTGGCCAGGGTTAGTTAGGCTCGTTCTGAAACCAGAATGATTTGTCAATGGCAAGGGCAAGGGGCTCAATCTACAGCCAGCTGAGGGACTCAACCTATGCTCAGGGTTGGGTACCAGGGTGAAGGGCTCAGATTGTGAACATCTTAGGGCTCAGTTTGTGATGATAAGAGCAGGAATGAAGATGGAGGAACAGAGGAATTAGAGACATATAAAGTTCAGGGCTGGGAATTCTCTGGTGCTCCAGTGATTAAGGATCCACCCTAGTCGGGCAACTAAGTCCTCGAGCTTTAGAGCCCACGCACCGCAACTAAGATCTAATGCAGCCAAATATATAAAATAAAATTAATTTTTTTTTTAAAAAAAAGGTAATGACCTGGATGGGGGAGAGGGTTCCGATTTCTGGCTTGATTTGGTGGGCGCATGGGGGTACTGTTCTTGTTAAGGGGGAACCCAGAAAGAAGAAGAGCAGGTTTTTGGAGAAAGATAAGGGAGCAAGTGTCTGAATGTGGTCAGTTGGAGGTACCACTGAGATATTTAAAATGGAGATACCTATCAAGGAGTCAAAAATATGTATCCACAAGCTCATCACTGAGAGTGGGTAAAATCATCAGGATGAGAATTTGACCCCCAGAGGACACAGTTATTCTGAAATCAAACAAAGGTAAATTTTAAAAATAAGTGTGATTGCAACTGTTGTTTAAAAATTACTTATAGAAGGAAATGTACTGGAATGTTCATAATAATTATATTTTGGTTGTGGGACTGCGGGTGATTTTTTTTTTCCTTTTCTACTTTTCTGTATTTTCTTTCATGGGGCTATTAATTCTTTCTTCATGAAAAAGGAATGAGAATGCTCAGTTTTACCTAATGTTCCTGAAGGATCCGGAATAAAAATTGATGAAACTGCCTTTGGGTTTGGCTGCTGGGCAGTCACCTGGCTAGAGCAGTTTCAGGGGAGTGCTGGGACTCAGAGAGGACGGATGGAAGGAGACAGGCAGGTGGGTATAGTGATTAAGGCCAGAGTTTAGAGCTGTCCAACATGGTAGCCGCTAGCCACTGGTGACTATTTAAATGTAAATATAAAGTTTTTCAAGATTAAAATTCAGTCCTTCAGTTGCACCGGCCATAGTTCAAGTGCTCCACGGCCACGTGGCCGCATACTGGACAGCACAAATCTAGTGAAGTCGCTCAGTCGTGTCCGACTCTTTGCGATCCCATGGACTGGTAGCCTGCCAGACTCCTCCGTCCATGGAATTTTCTAGGCAAGAGTACTGAAGTGGGTTGCCATTTCCTTCTCCAGGGGATCTTCCCAATCAAGGGATCGAACCCAGGTCTCTCACATGGCAGGCAGATGCTTTACCGCCTGAGCCACCAGGGGAGCTAAGAGCGCTCAGAAAATTCTACTGGACCATACTGATGCCAGGCTGCCTGGGTTTGAGCCCAAACTCTGCCATTTATGAGCAGTGTGATCATAGGCAAGATACCTTTCTGTGCATCCGTTTTCTCCTTTATAAAACTGGGGTGATCATATTATTGACCACATAGGGTTGTTTAAACGGATCAATGTACATAAAGCACTTAGAACAGAGTCTGATGTACAGTAGGTTCTGATTATATGCTTTAGGCATCAGGGACTCTGAGGAGACTACTGTTGTAGTGTTAGTTGCTTAGTCATGTCCAACTCTGCGACTCCATGGACTGTAGCCCACCAGGTTCCTCTGTCCATGGAATTCTCCAGGCAAGAATACTGGAGTAGGTTGCCATTCGCTTCTCCAAGGGATCTTCCCAACCCAACAATCAAACCCAGGTCCTGCTTTACAGGTGGATTCTTTACCATCTGAACCACCAGGGAAGCCCCCGAGGAGACTGGTAACATTTAATTTCTTAACCTGGGTGGTAAGTTAATGAGTGTTAATTTTATAGTTATTCTTAAAATATATTTTTTCAGATTCTTTTCAATTACAGGTTATCTGTTTTATATTCAAACTGTATTTTGCAACAAAAAGTGTTTCCTAAAAACAGTGAGAGAAGGGAAGTGAGAAAGTAAACCCAGATGATGGAGGTTACACTGGGGAGAAGAACAGAGCTAAGAAGGTGGTATGTTAAAGAGGCGGACAGAAGGGAGGGAGGGTTTCTCTGAGGGTTAGGAGGACACGAAGATGTTCTAGGTTGAGGAGAGAGGTCTGGGAGGTGTAAAAGACACAAGAGAGACAGGAGGTGAAGGATGGTGTGAGGTGTGGAAGGCGGCAGGAGAGAAGAGATTAAGCCCCGGGGTAGGTGTTGCCCTTGGAAGGAAGAGGGACACTTCTTTCTCCCAGGCCAGCAGAAAGGAAATAAGAACAGGTGATGTTATCGCTAAGAGGGAGGAAGGAGGGAAAGTGAGGGCATCCTTGGCTTTGAGCTCCTCTGTGGACTGGAGAAGAGGCTGTCTCAGAGGGTGGAGGGGCAGCTGTGGGTTCAGGAGGTAAGAACAGCTTCTATGAAGAGCAGCTTCTAGGAAGAATAGAAAGAATTGTTGAGTGGTCTAGAAACAAGTAAAAGATGACTAGCCACAGTGAGAACCCAGGTAAGGTTAGATTTTTCTTCCCTTGTTTCAGGAGGCTAGGCATGCCAGAGGTGTTGGATAAAACTGAGCCACTTTAGCTTAACATCTAGCAGGACAGAAAGCACCATGTGCTCCATGACCACTAGGGGGCAGCCTTTGGTTGGTCACTAGAGATTGGACAAAGTTTCCTGTCCTCACAGGGATCTGAGAGAGACAGCATCAGAACTAGGCTTGGTGCCCTTGGAGATGATCCAGCTGGACCTCCTCTTGATGAAGATGGGGAGATGGCAGCCAGGTAGGGCAGGGGACAGGTCTTGCCCAGGAGACACCATGGCCACACTGGGATCAGAACTCAGAGCTTCGGACCACTAATCTTCCCTTCCTTCTGCAGTACCTGGCTGCCTCCTCTTCTCCAGTGTGTGGAAGGAGGGTGCCGGGCAAGGTATGGAGCAGCAGGGGCCTGAGTGCCAGAATTCTGTCCTAGTTTCCAATTTCCTCCGACCAGAGGACCCAATTTCCAGTTTATTCTGAATCCTTAGATGGTGGTTGAAAAGACGGTTATGGAAGGGCCCATCAACCATGCTAGGACAGCAGTCTGAAGGTGCCAGGGGATGGACTGTACCCTGTGGTGCCAGCTGGCAGTTCTGTCCTACTGGGTGGTTGTCTCAGCACCTTTCTCACTGTGACATGGGGTGAAGTGGCCAAAGAACACACACGGAGGTCAGTGTACACGTGTGCACTCAGCCCCCCGTTGCTGATTGACAGATCAGCCAGTGCGCATAGCAGCTACTTGGCTGACTTGGGAACTACGCGTGCCCTGTAATTGCATGTTGGCCAAACCAGCTCACTAAGTGACCGCCCGATGACTACTGCCTGGCCACATGGGACTAGCTGATGGCACAGTCTGCCTGGCCCACAGCCGCCATGCCTTGAACCTAGTAGGTGCTTGATCAGTGTTTGCTGACTGGCTAGCTGGCCAGCCAGCCAGCTTACTGGCTATCTGCCTGCCTGTCTGGATCTATCTGATCATCTGTGCCGACTGACCAGGCTCTGTTCTCTGGGGCCATACCTGGTGGATGTCATCCATTCCGTTGCTTGCAAACTCAAAGATCAGGTCACTGGGCTGCAGGGCAACAGCCATGCTGTCTTGTCAGAGAGCTGACTGCAGGGCCTGCAGGGCCCACTGGAGCCGCGGCGTTTCCTTGATGAAAAGATGCTGTTCAGATACCTTGAGCCTAGCACCTACTCCTTGAGTCACAGTACAATAGGGGCTGTAGAGAACTGGAATAGGCAGGGGCCTAACCCAGGTTCAAGGCTGCATGCTGGGCTGGGCCAGGCGCAGGAGTGACCTACAGAGAAGGGAGAGATGGGGACAGTGAGCCAGTCACCTTCCTTCGGTCCTGTTCCCAGGACAGACTGCCAGAAGAGGGACAGCAGGAAAAGGGGAAGACAGTGGGAACAGAAGGGTTAAGCCTTAGTGCCAGTCTGGGTCACGGGGACCTACGCCTGAGCGGACCCCCAAGATACGCAGTCTCCCTCACTTCCCATCCCATGTGGACAAGATGAGACAGAGCAGGACTTTGCGCACTCTCCACCCTGAAGATTAATCCCCAGGGTGTGGCCATAGGGGAAGCCAGGGCAGCCTGAGTGGCCTTGTGGATGGAGCATGAAGACCCCTACAATTCCCTTGGCTGGGGAAAGGACCCCTGTGAGGGATCTGGGTGCACAGGATGGTCTTCTAGACTCTGCCTGACTTGGTCCACCGTGGGAGTAAGGGCCGCTTAGTTCTGAAGGGCAGAGTCCACAGAGGAAGTGATCTCTCACTATAAGGGTTGTGTTGTCAGGGCCAGCGACAGGGGATGGCACTCTCAGACTCGGCCACGCCTCCAGAGAGCCTGATGTCAGAGGGCCGGGGGGCTACATGCCCTGCTCTAGTCACCACCCAGCCACCACCACCCGCTGGGGATGCCAGGCACAATGGCCTCTGTGCTGTATGTGGCTTGGGCTCTTTGGTTTAGCTTTGCTTTCAGTTTCAAGAGTGAACTGTCACCCTGGGAGAGCCCCAGCTGGGGGAGGGGCCCACAGGAACCTTCCCCATCCTCCAGGGCCAGCTCAGGGCCCCCTTTTCCAGGAAATCTGTCTGCTGCAGCCCACATGTCTCTCCTCTCCCAGAATGCCTCTGGCACTCACAGTCTACACCTCCGGTGCTCACATGGCACTGGGCCTCTTTGATTGTTTCCTGTGCTCCCTGCCCTTCTCAAGTCATCTGCGGCGCACCCCGGCCTGCCTCCAAAAGCCCCAGCTCCCCTCCCACGCCCCTCCCACCAAAACATTCTCAGCATCTCCACCCTAACACTCAGGCTACTCCATGTCCAGGTACCATGGCTCTGGCCCCGAGGGTTCGGCTTTGTGTGGCATCCACATGTGTGTTGGTGTGGTGGGCCTATGATCGGCTTGGTTCAACCACGAGCACCTTAAGAACCAGCTCCACACACCAGAGGAGGAGCCACACACTTGACCCCTACCTCCTCGGCACTCCTTTGCCAGTGCCAGGGTGGCAAAACCTCCTCCTGGCCCAGAAAGAAATGAGGAACTTCAGAGAGGGGCAAAGGGGAGGAAAGGGAAGGGGACCACGGATGACCCTCCCAGATGACCACTCTCCCCCACAGGAGACACCCAGGCCTCTCCCACTTCCTTTCCGTTAGCCCACAGGGCTGGCTCCACCCTCTCCCCACCCCCACACTCACCCGCACACCTTGCCACCCACCCCCAACCAAAAAACTTTGAGAAGTCACTCGACTCAACCTGGCAGGTCTGAGTTTCCCTTCGGGTGAATGAGAGGCCCAGCACTGCGAGAAGCTAAGACGGCCTTAAACCACTGGCGCCCACCCCACCCCACCCCCACCCCCACCTGCACATGACCCACGTGACCGGGTGTCTGTGGCCTCCCAGAGAAGCCTTCCAGGGCCATTTATGCTTGGAAGGTCTGTCTCCCCCAGGCAAAGTGCCCCAAGGCCTGCATTCCGCAGCTCCCACCCTCCCACAGGCCGGCTGTCTGCCCCCAGGAAGCGTTCTCATACTAATCAAACGAAAGGTGATCACTTTCACCTAATCCCACTTTGTCTAAACATGAAACTCCTGTGTCTGCCCCTCTCCCTCCAAGGTCATTCCACCATGGCCTTTCCCTGCAGGTTTGCTTATTGCTCTGGCTTCTCTTCGCAGATCAGTGTTTGATGCTTGTGAGCTCTCTGCCTGGGGAACTTCTGGGTGCCTTCCTTACCTCCCCCATTAGAAAGCGGCTTCACTGAGGGCAGGGACGCCGGTGCTGCTCACTGATGAAGCTTAGCATGTAGCAGATGCCCAATGTGTGTTGGTGGAACGAACACATGAATGAATGAATGACACTGGTCAATCGGTACCAGTGAGGCGGGGTATGTTCTCTGGGCTGTAAGTATACGAATGTGTTTACTGGGTGTGGGGTAGGTGTCCAGTGGTCTAGCTTACAGGAAAGAGAGAAACGTGTGCCCTGTGTGTGTGCTATGTTTGTGTATTTTTGCATGGTAATTTATAACTAGGAGCGGGAGCTGGGGAGGGAGTTCCCTGTGGGTGTGCGAGCACACTGCAGATATATGTATGTGCCGGGTGTGGGGACAAGTGCGTGAGAGCCTCTGTGTGTCAAAGGGCTTTGGTCCTGGTCGGGCCAGCAGAGCCACAAGCACAGTCGTCGGTTCCTCCTCCTCCAGGCCTGCCTTCGTGAGAATGACAAGCCCAAGCTAATACTAGCTGCTGCCGGCTGGCAGAAGCTGGCTGTGGTGAAGTGGGCTAGGGCGGGGCCTAGCGGCCACCACCACCCAACACCACCCCTCCCCCAACATGGAAAATTCAAAATCCTCTTGATTCCCAGGGAGAGCATGCCAGAGCAGAATGTGTATATGGCCCATGCTTCCTAGGGGTGAGCCCCCAGGGTCCACTCTGCTGGGGGGCGGGGTGTGGTAGGAGAGGGAAGGCAGCTCTGCACTAGATTGGATGGAGCCCTTAGCCATCAATGCAAAGAGAGATTTGAAATAAAAGAAAGGCAAATCCAGTTGCCTTCTTTAAGTATCAGCATATCTTAGTATCCAAATTCGGGGTTCTTCAAGTCTGAAGCTAAGGTGAACTCGTGTGTGTGTGTGCGTGTGTGTGTGTGTGTGTGTGTACGGTGGGATTGGCTGTCCTACTCTCTTGGTCAAGGCTGAGAAAACTCTCCCTTCACCCCTATGGAACCTTCCAGTCCAGAAGGCTTCACCCTTCCCCCTTCGGATGTTTGAGGATTTGAAAGTGAGAGGTGGGGAGCAGTCATTTGCATGTTCACTCACTCTCCCCCAAGTCCCTCAAAATAACCTCCCTCTCCCAGGAACCTGAAACCAAAGAAGCCACCAGCACAGAAGGCCCACCCTGCTGGAGGCCGGAGAGGCCTGCACAGGGGCTCCCCTCTCTGGCATCCTCAGAGATACTCTGGGACACAGATTCAACTGCCTAGAGCCCTGGACACTGCCTTATCGATGAGTGGGGGGCTAGGGAGGTCCACAAGAACCCTGGGCTCACCTGGTAACCCTTAGTTACCAGTGCTAAGATCCTCCCACCCCACCTCTTCATTGCAAAGCTCACAGCTGGCTCCAGTCAAAGTCCACTCCCAGAGTGGCAAGAGCTCCCCTCCCTTTGAGGCCACTGCAGTATCCCTGGCTCCCAGGGCCTGTCCTGTTTGGGCTGAAAGCAAAGCCTCTGTGAGAGCATATGGCCCCAGCTACTGAACGTGTGTGTGTATGTGTGTGTGTGTGTGTGTGTGTGTGTGTGCAGGCACACCACAGGAGGGAGCAAGCAAGCGAGGGCGCCCACATCCCGGGCTTGCAAATGCACACCTCTGGCTCTCTGTGGCTGTGACTGCATTTCAAAACCAAAATAGCAAAATAGAAGCGTTTGCACTGTTTCTGCGTCATCACAGCTGGGCCCCCTTCAGACCCTCTCTGGGGCTGTCACTGGAACACGTCAAGCGGTGTCCAGCACTCACCCATTGGGGCCTCCTCCACAGGAAACAGCCCCAATGTGAAAGCCACGTCCGCAGTCTCCGTGGAGCAAGTTTAAATCTACAGCCGCTCAGCTGAGCCAATGGCTCTCACAGAATCACTAATAACACCCGTGGCATTTTCACACACGCCAGCAAACATGGGGGCCAGATGGTCAGCCAGGCTCGCAGAGCAGCATTCTCATGTTCCTCATCCTCTCACAGCCAGCCCTCACTCCTGAAATACCCCGTCCTCCCTGAAACCTTTCTGGAATTCTCTGGAAAGGAAGTGACAATTTCCTTCATGCCATTTCCCACTCCCTCAACACCCCTCCCCCACAACCACAAACAAAGTGGAAACTACCCCAGGAATAGCTGTACCCTCCACTTAAAAACAGCCCCTCCTCTGGCTAATAGTCATCAAGCAGCATAGTTGCACGCGGCACCACGTGATCAGCGGCGTGTGTTTAAGAGCCAGAAGGTCAGACCCAAGGGTCCAGTCTGTAGCCATGGACCAAGCAGAAGTAGCCCAAGTGTGGGACTCCCCTACAATCTTGGTCCAACTAGGGCTGGACTCCAATCAGCCAGCCAAAACCCCCCTCCTTGAGCAAAATGCCCAGTGAAGGGGCCCACTTGCCACAGCGATTTTGTCAGCTGCTTCTCCTCTATTCCTGCCTTCTACCACCCCCTCCATCTGAGATGAAATCAGGAAGAGGGAGGGAAAAAATAAATGTTTTGCAAGCTCTGTTGATTGGGGTTTCTCTGTGCTCATTTACAAGAAACCCAGTTTCCTTCCTTGGCCCTCGGTCACTGCCTGATTCCTTGTAGGGTTTGTCAGAGCTTTCACGGTGAGGCAGGCCCGGAGCTCTTCTTCCACTGTCCCTACCCTTTCTCAACTGCAAGCTTGCCCCTGCCTTCCCAGCCCCACAGCTGGCCCCATGGAGGGGCAGTTAAGGCTGCAGGCCACAAGCACAGAGATGTGTGCTCCTCTTTCTCCAGGAGACCCATCAGCCCTCTCCCGGCTGCATCCTAACAAGAGGTGGGACCGCAGAGAAGTCAGCCATCTTTCTGGGCTGTGCTTTCTGTCATCCTTAAAGTGG